AACACTCAAAATGTAGCAGATTTGGTAAAAAAAACGATGACAACACATGAGATGTCCTGCAGCTGGTAATAACGTAATGTTTTCGTTATTATTCACTGGACAGGCACAGAAAAGGTGTTTGATGGCTCAACATCGCAGCTTCTGCAGTTGTCATAAAATGTAATGCAATTTTTTTTTGTATCTACTAGAAAATAACAGAAAAGCTTCTGGGTAGTCATTGGATGTAATATGTACGCTTATTGAATAGTATCCAGTGATGATTATTATAGGAACTAAGATTTCATTTCTTTACATTGAGAGAAACATCTGTGTTTTTTGTGTGTTCCTTTTAGGCCTTTCGCGTAAACACATTGTTTCTTAATTCCATCGTTAACATATTTTGACTAGAAACAATTTCCTTGTATAAGTTGAGGAGTCGGATTTCTATTCTTTAATTATATTACGAATAATATTATGACGAAAAGCTATCGATATGACATATATTCGAATGTAAGCATAATTTGAAAATATAAATGAAACCAAATGACATATTAATTGTCTTTTTTCGTTATCTAAATAGTTTTTAAAAATATGTGATTGCTCTTAAACTATTAAATAATGCGTCTATGGTGTGACTGAAATCCATAGACATAAATGCATGAAATAAATTTTTATTGCCTGGCTGCAAAGTTATTAAATACCAAAAAAGGAAATTATACAAGTTATGACAAATCTTTTTTTTAAGATCCCTCATACGACACTCGAAGAAATATATAACAAAAAATCAGAAAGTAATGGAAAACATTTGGTACATGAAATATTTCCAAAAAGACCACTGAAGTTGGGCACTTGGCAATACTCGAAAGAGCTATATGGTCAGTCAAAAATTCAAATAAAACTAAAAATTAAATTTTGTGCAAAAATCTTCAAATTTAAATTATTTTCATATAATTTTTTATTTCCTTTAACAATTTTTTACTTATTGAATATTAATAAGGATAATGCACTCTACTTGTTAAAAACGTAGAACATTTAAAAATACTTGTCCTATAAACTTACAACTCTGCTTATCTCCTGGTGGAATACTGATCCTACACGATTTCTCTAAGTCTTACACTATTCCCTGTTTCTTTCGTAATTTGATTTCAAAAGTACTGTGCATATACAAGCTCTAGGTCCGCGGTTCTCTGCCATGTCTTAGCTGAAGCTCCAGGTCTGCGATTAGCTTTTGGGTTTTAGCGTAGAAATTGCTTTGTTATACAGGATGCTGGTTTCAGAAACGTATGGCGAATCTACTTCCACTATCTTCTTTTGATTTCAGTGGCAGCTTGTATTTGTTGCGTGCCTTCCCATAGATCGGTATTGAATATACGGACATATTGTTTGTATTACTTTTAATCATTTTTTTATGAATACTTGGCTGCATAGTTGAATAAAAGGTACGTTTTTCCACGTTTCACGTCCGTAGAAAAATGTTTAATTGACTTTCGAGTTAAATATTTGAAGTTTAGTACGGGTACTTATTTGGTTTAATTTCCGCACATTGTTTAACTGTCCAAATGCTGACTTGCCTTTATTTAGCTCAACCGAAACGTTTTCGTCAGCACTACTTTTATCCGTGATGATACTACAAAGATATGTAAATAATTTTACGTGCTAACTGCGGCATTGCCAATTCTGATGGATGGAGTATCTGGGATACTGTAGTGCTGCGGTTATACTGCATTACGTTTGTGTTTTCATGGCTTATATACAGGCCGGCATTGTCCTATGAAGTCACTAATTTTAACAATTTACTTATGTACTCTCTTGCATTAATTACATTGAATCGATCTATAAGAATAACAGTATCATGTCTTATATCCTAACATTATCCTTATAAACTCATCAAAAGTTGCTCCACTATTCTATTACTGCATATACATAGTTCGCTGATAAATAACTTTTTAAAATTGATATAAAATTTTGCAATAACATCTTCATTTGATTTATTGAGTGAACATTTAATATCTGTCAGCAAATTTGTCAAAAATCAAATTTAAGGTTTTGCAGTATGAAATTGCCAATATACATACATTTTTTTAATTTATTCATATATATCTTATACCATATTTTCGACATCTTCGTGTTTATGACTTAAAAATAGTTCAGGGGCTAAATTCACAATCTTTGTTTTCTTATTTCTCCAGCAAAAACTATTTGTTTTCATATCGCGGTGACCTTTGAGTTTCGAATAATTTTGTTAATCAATCGAACATCAATAACCAATTCAAGACATTATACTCATATCGAAGGAAAAAAATTGCAATCATAATAAATTGCATAATAATGGTAACATCGCATCTCATTTGAATCGCGCAGGTGTGGCAGCTCTGTAATATTATCATTAGCCGTGTAGCGCGGACTTATTAGGCGCAACGCAAAGTAGTCAATTTGTAGTTTTTCGCAAATTTTTTTATCTTTCCATAAAATAACACCGCGAGGCAGAAAGGCGTTGCCAGTACAAAACTTTATTTGTCTTGCATTGCTGAAACAATTCGATTTCGTATTGAAGAAAAAACTTGATATTGTTCCAAATGCTATGAACCAATTTCAATTGAATGTGGCTATTGTTGATTTACTTTTAATATCTTTCATCTGAAATTTTTGACATTTAAGTTGATACCCGCATCTAAAATCATGTTATAAATTTATAACTGCGTAAAAGATACAATTTCTGTATTCACTTCCCGAGTGAATCTATGAATTGATTTATATAATATCAAAAAATATCATCATGATCATCTGCACCGAGTTTTTAAGAAATTATTTAAGTAAGTAAAATGCCTATAAGAATACGCTAAGCAGAAAGTAAATTTTATTAACCCGAAACCAGTCACTTCTGGTAATATAGAGTGGATATCAGCAGTGCCGACTTTAGCACCATGCTCGAGTAGCTAGTATGCCCCGAGCCCTATAAAATACCATGTGGAAAAAAGAAAAACACGGTAAGAACGGTGAAAAATACAAATAAAATTTTCAAAAGAAAAAAAAAACTAAAGAATCTAGAATATCAGATTTTAGTATTCTAGACTCTTTGAATGCTTAAGAAACTATGTTATAGATTTTTATATATTGTTAAAAATATAAATAGATGAAGATATATATGGTATACTGTACTGATAATTATTATAAACAAATTATATCTATTTTCATTATTTCTATTTCTATTTTCAAAATTCTTAGTTATAATCGAAGTCAATGTTTTCGTAAATATCGTTTTCAATTAAAAAGTTCGTCAATCTGATTTGAAATTCCGATATCTGTTGATACCAGATAAGTTTTTACCAGTTTTGACTTTTAATAACTCCGTTCTACATTAGCTACTCTAATAAGCTTAATGTTCAAGGTATTATCCATACATTTGGATATATTATTTGAATGCTACGAAGTTATGGGAATTTATAGGAATTACTGAGCTTTTATTAGAATTATATTTTCGACTTGGGTCCAGCACTCAATTCGAACTTCAGTTCTTTCGCAATTTATGCATTTGTTTTTTGATACGATCTTTTATGAAGTTTAAGATGTGATATCGTAGTCGTCTGTCAAAAAGATTATTTTGGGCAAAAAAGATCATCACATAGCTTCCTGTCATCTGTATAAGATTTCGAATCTACAATTAGTTTTATTTGGAGATTACTAAGAGTTTAAAGTTAAAAGGCTTAATACGACTTTTTTCGGCTATTTTTACGGGCTTTATACTATTTTTACAAGTCGGATCCGGCTCTTTTTCATTATTACCTCTGTGGACGGCAAAAATATATTATTGGATCAATTGAAGATTATGATTACTTTAAACCGGAAAATGGTAACATATGTTTCTTTAGAAAGATTAGAATAATCATTAAAATTAAAAGTAACAAAAAATTTTAAAACTCCTTTTATTATTACACGCATAAATTTATAACCTAACTCATATGATCGTAAGAAAACACTAAATATCAGAATGGTGTGCTATCCTTACAAAAAATTTTTAAAAGAGATTTTTTTGGCGCTTATAATAATAATTTTCGACACGTAATTAGATGTAGGGGGGAAATTACTTAAGGATGTGTGGAATAAATTAATTGAAAAAGCCAAAATAATTAACTGAACCGGTTAGAGTTAGAAGGTGCACGTTTTATAGCTACTCGGCATGAACGACCAAATCTCGCTCACTAATCCAGTCGAGGCTTAATCGGTAAAACAGAAAAAAAAAACAGGGGACTAATCTTTTTCATAGACAATGTTGTTGGGATTAAAACAACAACAATACCAATATAGCGATGGTATATTGTGTTATAGAAGTATGTCTCTATATTTAACCTATTTGTTGTTGAACATCACAGGTTTTGAAATTTGTAGACGCCAGCTTTATTTGCTATTGCTGTTAATGTATAAAGATTTTATGCTAGTCTAGGAGTCTGTGCACTTATTCTATCTCGTTATGGTTTCAAGGTGACCGAATATGTTTACGTATTCATTTTCCATCCAATGTTTCTTTTTATTCCCATTAGTTTAGATGTTTGGAGTGTTACTGGCACTTTATTGTAATTTCCACTGGAGATCTAAAGAAGTTCTATTTTTTCAGTCTTTAAATATAGTGCATGTGTATTTCAATAAATACTAATTATAGATGTAAATCTGTATAAATCCTTTGAGTTCATAAAAATATCTTCATTTCTTGCATTCAATAGGCTCACCAAGAATGTAGAACAAAAACTATTATTAAGTAAATAATATACAATGATTTTTAATTATTATTTCATAAATTATTTTATTTTCTATGATTTTCTTACATTTAAAATTATGTTTATAAATATTTAACTAGATTTTATTATAATAATCTTCAGATAGTTTTGTTTAAAATTTCGATTCGTTAAATTAATAATAGCTACGCACTAGTAAAATTTTCATATATCGTAAATATTTTACATAGAAAAGCTAAATGTTTAATTTAAATTATAATAAATTAAATTATGATGAATGAGGTCAAAATTCTTAAATTATAAACAGATATGCCTACGCTTTAACAATTATACGCATTTTTCATAATTTTTTGAAAATCGTTGTTTTGGGAACAAAATCTAAAATTCTTTAGGAAAGTTTTGAACTTTGAGTAACGCAAGAGGATTCGTTCAATTTAATTGATTTAACATAATAACCCGAAAGTGTTTATATGCGCAATAGATTACTTAAGAATTCTTTAACAATTGTAATTATTTATCAATAAACAAATTTGAGTATTTTGTGATTTGCTAATACTTGTTGTTTCTGGATCGTTATCACTAATTTACATGTTTCGTACTTCGCCACGAGTGCCTTTAATCGCTGGAGTTATTATGTTATTAACTTTAACTACTAATTTCTTTAAATTACTAGCAATACAACGTAATAATTATTTTTATTCTCTACTAATTTTACATAAAATAATTTAATGAGCGAGTGTGTGTTTATGTTCAATGAATTCTGGCCAACGCTATTCCTTCAGCTTTCATTATTGCACGTTTAGTACCAGTTTAGAGGCTGAAAGTTCATGAAGATCCACGCATGCGTGGTCTTCGTGCTGTTGCCACCTCTCTTTTACGGTCATTGCCTAAATGCCATCACTTCAGCATAGTGGCTTTCATAGGGTCATGAAATGCGGTCAGGTGTGTGTCTCTGGTGGTGGAGGTTTGGATTGCCAAATTGATGTGGAAGTGAGCTTGATTTTTCAATGGATGCCGTTGGAGACCCAGTATGTATTTCATTTTCTGGTGAAGCGTGTCGAGAATAAATGGGAGATAGTTTCTGCAAAGATGGGCCTCCTAATGAAGTATTACTTGGCGATCTTGTCGTAATAGGTGGTGTTAATGAGCGCGGGGAGTGTGAATCAGTAGACGAACGTCGACAGAATGGGTTTAAACCATTAAATGGTGAGGCAAGTATATGTGATGCGAGATGGGGAAACCCCGGAAGACCAGTTAAACCTGGAAAAAGAAGTGAATTGCCAGGATGATTTAGCAACAAACGTGGATCACTAATGAACGTTTCAGGAAACGTATGTGCATGTCCAGAATGTGGTACATTTGGGAAATGTTGCTTCAGTGATTCAAAATTCAGTGGTGGTAAGCTGTGTGAACTGGCGTACAAACGTGCCAGGAATTCGGCTTGTATAGTGTTAGATAAGACACTAGGAGCACTTTGCGAGTTTTGATTTTTGTTATTGTTTGCGTTTATTGGTTCGGGAAGCGGATCTAAATGATGATTATCACTAGTGGATAGCAGTTTTCTATGAAGATTTAAATTTGAACTGTGGCGATCTCTGCTTCTCTTTGAAGGAAATGCGGCATTGCAGCCATCTATATTGCACTTGTGATGTAGCTTAAGATGTACATTCTGATAATGAGTTTTAAGATGGAAGTGGTTTTGAAATATCTCGCCACATGCTGTGCATTTGAGTGGGTTATCCTTATCAATTGGCACTTCGGCTTCTTCTGGTATATAGTCTCCATTATGTTCATCACTGGAGATGTTTTGTGCACCATCTCTTGTAGGTGAGGTTACAGCCTCATGTCGCTTTGCGGTAAGATTTTCTGGTAGTATATTGTTATTGATGTTGATTTGACATTTCGGCTCTTGATTTGATATGTTAAGTTTTCCGTCGTCTTCCAGAATTTCTTTTTTAATGCGTAGATAGCGGTTTTCGTCTTCATCTTCTATTTTATTTAAAGGTGGTGGTGTCATCGGTAGTTCTTCAGTGGGTTCTTGTTTAATTGGTAGTGTCAAACTATTTTCTCTTTTGAGCATCTCAGTTTGGTTGTCAACATCAGTCTGTACAGCTTTTTTATGCGCTGAAGAAAGATCAAGTGAATATTCTTGCGGTTTATAAGTACTTTCCTGATTTGATTCGGCTTGTTCCCTGTATTCTTCTATTGGTTCAGATTTAACAGGTGTACTAGATTGCAGGGATGGTTTAGTAGTTGTTAGCTCATTTGTAGCAGTTGATGGAGTTAATGGTGGTGAAGGAAGCACCTTAGTACTTTCACTTACGTTAGAATCGCTTGCAGGTACCGGGCTTTCAGACGTTCGTACCCTTTTCGTCAAGTCTAGTGAATTTGCATTACTTTCGGCCATTGTTCTACTTTCTTTAGCATCCGCAATTGATTCTTCTGTCGTTGTTTTCATCGATAAGTCAGCCGCAACGTCAAAATCAATAGAGTTATCACAGGAATTTTCTTCTGATTGCACAGCGCATCGAACAGGATTCTGATTTTTTCGTTTGCGTTTATTTGATGTAGAACTGTAATTATTCGATGTGCCACTACAGCCATTACTGTGACCCGCTGTACCTTCGTAGTCTTCCCGCACACTATACGAATCCGCCACACTTAATGAATCATCATTACTATCATTGCTTTGGCGATCTGTATTACCATCATCGTCGCACTCATCTACTTTAGTGCAGATTTTTTCTTTGGTCTGACTAAATTCAGTCATTATTGCTGTGGTATTATCCACATCACGGCTATTTTCGCCTACGGTTGAGGTTCCGTCTCCGCAACCATCGGTATTATAATCCTCGGAATTAGTCTTATCTAGCATACTATCGCCTTCATCACCCACAACTACAATACCTTCGCCATCTTCATCGTCGTCGTCGTCATCATCATCTCCTATATGTATGCCTCCGTCTAATATACCATCATCATCATCCTCCTCTCCAGTACCATCACTGCCTTGCATATGACGTCCATGGGAGTCATATCGACTTAACATGCTACTGTCCATATATGAGCGGTGCATGAATTCTTGGCCATGTTTGAGTTCCATTCCTTGCATAGAATGATGTCGCATATCAGGTGGAGGTGTAAGTAATGGGAAACTACCAAATGGATTAAGACCGGCCATTAAACCATTTGGCGGTTGTAAAAGCAATGGATGCGGTTGCGCACTACGTCCATCGTGTGGAGAAATCTTTCTACGTAAATGAGGAGAATGTAACTTTGGGTTAGGATTCGCGCTGTGTCTATTGCGTGAACGTCTTGAACTAAACATCATACTACAGCCATCTACGGTGCACTTGTGCATTTCTCGCAAATGTACTGCTGAAAAATGTATCTTTAGAGCGCCTTTATCACAAAATGTTTTAAGACAAACATTGCATTGCACTCGTTTTTTACCCGTTACAGGATTGATGAACTGAGTGCCGAGATTTGCGGGTAGTGAACCCCACTGACGTTTTCCTGGTGAATGTGTTTTTCGACCTGGTCGTAGACCACTTGAAGCAGATATTCTGGATAATCGTTGAGACTGCGGTGAGGACTGCTCATGATGAATTGTTCGTTGATTTGATTCATGTTGCTGACTTTGGTATGAATTCGAGCTAGAAGCTCCGGAAGAAGCAGATGACGAAGACGATGAATGTTGATTAATTGGATGAGCTGGAGAGCGTGTATTTGATGAGCCATGGCTTAGGCTTATTGGTTCCAGATGCTGGGAAGATTTTGATTGGATTTTTTCAATATCTGGCGATTTTGAACGCAGATGATGCTTGCCAAGACTTAAACTGGAGTTCATTGCAGGAAAATGAGAAGCAATTAAGCTTTGCGGCATTGGGTTACCTGTCGCTGCTGCTGCCACGGCAATAGCGGCTACCTGATTGCTAGTCAGACCCTGTGGCAAATTTGAGACACCATTTCCAGTAGGTGAAGCAGTAGGTGGCCCATGTGGTAGAGGTGGAGGTGGTGGTAAATGGAATGGCAGTGGATGACCTGACATTGCCATTGCATTAAAAAACTGATTACTTTGTGCAGCCGCTGCTGTAGCCGCTGCAACAGCAGCGTTCTTTTCTGCTGGTGTGGTAGCCTCATTAATACGACGTCGCGCCTGAGCTAATGCAATAGCTTGTTGTGCTGCTTGGTGTTGCAGATGTTGATGATGAGCAATTTCATTTGGACTCAAACGTGCTGGTGGAAGCGGTGGAAAGGCACCTAAAGTTGCTGTGTTTATTTTACGAAAGTCAAAAGGTTGCATATTTTGTAAATGACTAAGTGGATTTGGCGTTGCATTGCTAGAAGTGGTGGAGGCTTGAGCATTACTGTTAGAAGCTACCGATGCAATTGCTAAGCTTGCTGCTGGCGAGTGCTGACTTACAGATGAGGAAGGTGGCGGCAAGCTACATGAAGGTGAGGCTGGATTACGAAAAAAATTATTTAAGTGATTTGTCGACGTTAGTCCACTACCGGCTGCTGCAGCTGCTGAAAGCTTTTGATGCAGTTGTGACTGAAATTGCATTTGTGCATGCGCTAGTGAACTGAAATGCATATTCATTGGATGAGCTGCAGCACGTGGTGGCGATGGACGACGACTTGGTGACATTACCATCGGAGTAACAGTTGTGGAAAGCGAGTTATTCCTGCCAGATAGATCGTGTTCAATGCTCGTGCGACGCGAAATGTTTCGCTCGTAGTTATAGGCGAGTGCAGCTTGAGCTTGAGCGTGAGCGTGTGCTTTCTTTAAGTATTCTAACTCTAAATCTTGCAAATGATTGTGCTGCAAAGTGTGTAAAGGTGGTGGCGGCAATGGTGGTGGTGGATGATGTGAATGAGGATGTTGTGCTGGATGTCGCTGCTGGAATCCGTTGCTAGGTTTTTCCTGATTAATATTCATTAAGCCGCTCGTTTATCTGTGTTTGCCGTTGCTTTTGTTATGTTGTAGACTAGAAACGTGTGAAGTTTGTGTTCGAATTGAAAATTCTGTCTCTGCGTTAATTCATTTGTCCGCGTGTGTAGAACCAGCATTTCGACAGACGCATGTGATTTATTATTTTTCACGTAAGTTAAACTGAAAGAAAAGAAAACACGAATTTAGATTTCAATAAATAAATTTAAAATATGTGTTTTTGTGCTGTTAAACAAGAGTAAAAATAAAAACTTTTATCTGCAAATATTTCTTACTGGTAACCCTTGTCATTAGTCAAAAATGAGAGCATCGAAATAAGCGAAAGACAAATATTTTGTACAAGGATCATTATTCCAAGAATCGATGTTGGCATTTGTTAGACGGAGTAAATTTCTTTTACTCATTTTTGGCTAGAATATTTTATTTGTCCGCTGGTAGTGACAGTTTAGTGCCATCCTGCATGTGGCCCTCGTCAAGCTATGTGTTGCGGATAACGCGATATGACAATGTAAACGCTTCATTTTTTCAAGCGTTTAAACAAATAACTTGTTGTAGCACATATGATGGCTACTTGATGATACCCTCACTGCCGGACAATGCGTATTTTGAATCACGCATGAAGTGTTGTACTTAGAATATCAAGAGAAAAAATAAAAAGTATAAAAGCGAAAAAATACGACTATACGAACCCGTACGGTGGAATAATGATAACCTACACTTCAGTCAGTCTAGCAAGTTGTCAATATGTACAGCATTGTTGGTTTCTTGTTGGCTGTAGGTGCCGTTGCCTGTTTATTTGCTTTTGTGGTCTCCAGTCATGTCTTTGAGTGGCTGAAGCTGTGCATGTATTAACGTGTTGCTCTGTATTCAGTCAAGTGGTCATGAGCCACACTAGTCAAGTTGTCTGCGAGGAGACCGTCTGTCAGTTGTCGCTTGACGTTTGCGGGCATGTCGTCGTGCTTGGCATACCTTGGGTGCTGTTAACTTATGGCGATTACACTTCGTTTGTGTTTTTCATCAGCAAGTAAAGTGCCCATTCAGAAATTGTCACATCATTATTGTTATTTTTTTCAAGTTGTTTCATATGTACTAGTTCCTAAACTGACGTCTTCTGTGTCTTCTTTAAGAGCATTTTGTGCGCTCATTATTTTCTTTCGATTTGGGAGGTCTCTTAAGGTGTTTTCCGTGAAATTGCTTGAGATACTTCAGTTGACAATACTTGAGAGTCTATTTAGTTTTTTATTGTTTTTTTAATATTCGAATTGAGTATTGTATTTACATATACAGAATATTTCTAACCTGAACGAGTTTAATCGCAATTGGAAACAATTTTAGTAATTAGAGGATTAGTAGAGGATAGTAGAGGATTGAATTAATGTAAGTTTTGAAAATGACACAGAAACAATTGGTATATTTGTTTGAAATTAGTTAAAAATATTTTGTTTAGACTTTTTCCTGATTTTACACTGAAATTCTTAAGATACTAGCAATTTTCGTCTAGTCTATTTAGATTGTGAGAAAGATGAATAAAATAATGGTTGTAGCATTTTCGACAAGTACATATGCTTAGATTTGAACAAAGCTGCTATACAAACCAATGGTTTTAATATGGTTCATGATCCTGTAAGAAAATCTCTGAAGTCTTCAGTTGTTATTTAACTAAAGTTTGTTATTGGTCAAGTGAAATTAATTAATCCTTGAATTTTCTCCTTCGCAATTATTTTAATAGAGATAAATAAACTAATGTCATTTTAATTGAAAAATTTTTCTGATTTCTGTAAATCTCTGTAATTTAGTGTTAAATATGTTCCAAATTTCTGCAAGGTTTTAATATATATTTTTACTTCCGAAGTTTGCTTATATTTCATACTTTTTATTTAATACATTTTCTTATTCTTAATAAAACGAAAATAGTACTGTAAACAGTATAATTGCAATGAAATTATATCTGACATTACACAGAATCAAATTTAACAAAATGATATGCATATTTCGCACATCCATATTTCGAAGTAACATTTTGCAAAGAAAACGTTCGTCTTATGAAGACTTCGAGTTAAAGAATTTTTTTATTTTTTTTTTTAATTTGAAATAAATTAGATTATATTTTAAGATGGTTATTTATTTATTTGAAATCAAATACAACATCGAAGTTATAGTGCAGTAAAATATTTAGAAATTAGTGTTTGAGATTTTAATTTTTTTTTCTTATTTTCAGTAAAAAGAGATTTCAATTTATTTCAAGCCTTATACTGATCATCAGTTGTAGTATCATTTGTTTGCAAATAAATAATCAAAATTTTGAATGACTCTTCTACCTCATTCTTGGAACAATTTCATTGATGAACAATTTCATTGGTTGGAAAAAGGGACTTCCCCTAACACCAAAATGGATTCATACTTAAAACAAAAATTCAACTTATTCACATATTCACATATTGACACTTGACTATATTTTTATTTGAGATATGAAGAAATTCGAGTTATGGAAACCTTTAGAAATTCTCTAAAACCCTGTTGCACTCTTTTGAGTTCGACTTATAGAAAATTTGAGTTATAGAAGTCCGAGTTATGGAAGTTTGACCGTATTTCAAATACCACGTGAAGTAATCATTAGTATCTGATCAGTAATTTTATGAAGCTATGACAGAGCTAATGATTTCAATATAAATAAAAAAATTTAAAATTCTCGAATCCGAAATTCAAAAAAAAAATGTTCTTATCTAAACAAACTATTTGCACATGGCTACGTGAAAAGGTGTTCACATAGCTATGAAATACCCGTACTGGAGCCTTCCCGAATACCAAAATGCAATATAAGCTTTTTTCCAAGTTGTGAGAAACGCAATAGAATATTTTCACAAAAAAATGGCAGTAAAAAGCAACGGATAAAACGAAATATGAAATAAATCAGTCAAAAAGTAAATTTTTTCAGATACGAACTGATCGGAGCTTAAAAAAATTCGCAATGACGTATTTCGTGCTATAAAAAATGTCATTTTGACACTTTGACATGCCAATAAATTGTGACAGCAATTTAATTGTCAGTCAAGCTCCCATGTACGATCGCAAGAGTTTGTTTGTATATAGAAACGTATGTGTGCATAGCCGAATTATGGTCAGATATGTGAGTGCGGTCTGTGTGCGGTGTGTGTGTGCTGCAGCGGTAAAACGTTAATGCTTTGATTGCGGTAAGTATTGACAAGGTATCAGCTTTGAGTTATTAACGTGCACACACTTGCCTGCTTGCATGCGCGTCTGTGTGTGCTTTGTGTGCAAAAGCAAGTTTAATGCGATTTAAAAAATTTAAATGGCAACTTAAAAATGTCATGACTTTGCTACATCGTCACATTGATTTGACGTCTAAGAAAATATAAAATATACGAGCCAAAAAAAATAACGAAAAAAAATTGAAAAATATGGCATGCCTTTGTGCTTTTAGAGTAAAAACTCGGCTTTGCGTCTGTCACTCACTCATTCACTCATTCACTCGGTCGATCGTGTCAGTATCAGTGTAGAATTGAACATGGCGGCTTAAAGTGTTTTTCTTTTATAATAGTTTTAAACAAAAAAATCAAATAAATTTGTTTTGTATTTACATTTTTTTCAGAATAATACATAAATGGATTTCTTCGTCTTATTTCCACTTTTAATTTTTTAACAATTCAACAAAACATTCAGTAAAAACTTGTAATTTCGGCAGAGTCGTTTAGTTCTTCTCTGCGGGCTTAGAACCAAAAGCAAAATAGTTCTAGTTCAAGCTGAACTAGAATATATATATATTATATATATATTGTATTATGTAGTTCTGAAAGGCTTCGATACGTATGAGTCATTTATTGCAATTATAACAGGTTGCATGCGAGTTGTTTGCAAATACTTGAAGTTCGAAATTGCATTCAGAAGTCTACTTTTTTCAAAAATCTACTTAGTTATGTACTCTGCCAATAACAGTCAAATTAAGAAATGACCATAATTTCATAGAATAATTTATACACAGCACATCGCTAGATAAGTTTCGAGATTAATCTATCTGTCTATCTCATACAAAATACATATATTGAGAAGACGTCTTTCAAATGATATGTATCCAAATTTCATGATATTTTGACCACTACTAATGAGTAGTTCTAGCTACTTATAGTGATTGCAGAATATTCTTATTCTTATGTCTAGTATTCTTATGTTAATTCCGCACAATTTTCTGATTACAAAAACAACCAGGTAAACATAGTATTGGCTTCAAAGGTCTTAGGTATGTCGACTTTACGCTCCAAATTTTATTATTTGTGTATAGTTTTCTGAATTTGAATTTGTCTTACAGACATCGCTGATAGTAAACGTTATGGATGGCTGAATTCGGTGGTTACTTCAGAATCTGTTGCATTCAGACCCTGAAATATGGTGACTTGGGTGTTATATTAAAGATACCAGAATAGAGCTTGTTATGTTTTATGATGTGAAGCATGTGTTCAAAATAATAGACTAATTTGCTCATAGTGAACCAAATACCAAATAATCCGTTACTGGTTCCAAGTGCTTTTTGAGAATATTGAGATACAATAAAATGGACTTTCGCCAACAATATATAACAATCGATGAAACATGCATCCACCACTACATATCGTAACCTAAACTATAGTCAGCAGAGTTACATCTATACTTCAGGATCCGGTTGATATGGCATGTGTATTCATGGACTATCTTGAGAAGAAAACAATCATTAGTGAAAAATTTTGCAAAAAAAAATGGCATTGTGGAAAAAAAAACTCTTGAATTGAAAGATGAAAAAGAAATGTCTGTGATAACTATTAAATAGTAAGATTTGCTGTTTTTTATGGTTTTAAAATTGTATTTGTGTTTATTTTTGATACATTATTTTATATGTTCATATTATAAACATATTATATTATACGTTTGTCAATATTGCTTTCCAATTAAATTAAAACTGAGTAATTATAGAGTTAGATATATTTTAAGTTGAAATACCTTTGTTTATTATTTGTAATAAAATATATAATACTTCATTTATATTCAATTGCAGTTATTGCCTTTGTTTAAATATTGTCTGAATGCTTAATTGCCATTTAGTATTACGCTTCGGCCATTCCCCTATTAATAAACATTTTCCTATTAATTAAATTAGTCATACCCTGTTTATA